CACAAGATGGCTCAATGCTTTACAACATATATTTTACAGGTTGTCGTCTGCATCGATCCAAGCTTCAGTGAACAAAAGTCAAAATTATGAGCATTTGCTGTGAAATTACCTCAACGGCCACCTCTGGTTTTAATAAATTAGTTTATGGTTGGAAGAAGATTCAACCCTATCTCACTTTGGGTTTGCAGCTGGTCCAAAGATGCAAGTTAAACAATCCTACGAAAATCAATCAAAGTGGAGAGCCAACATGTTAAGTGCAAATCGAATAGAAATTAAATATGGCCGGGGGATAAGAGTGGTGATATGGATTTTCACTGAGATCGAGCACATAGACCTCTGTTTCTGAGTATAATTAGAGCATTGCTATCTGTTATGCGGATCAGCGGACACGACAAAAGAAATTGAAGGGTCAATCCAGATCATCTTATCTGTTGAGTTCTGTCAAATAAACCACAATAACGAAACCTTTTACCAAGGTTTGAGTTTCAACAGTTTCACCGTTTTGTAATGCAAATGGATTTTTTTTTTTACGTTAATTAAATGGATTTTAATTACTCACCAAGACTGTATGAAATGAAAAATTGAGCTGATTGATTCAAATGATTCTAGTTTTAGCTGGAGGCACAATATTAGTTTAGCAGCCAGTGCACTCATGGCCTCACAGCCCTTCTCGCAACATTCTTTGGGGTTTAATGCGTGCTTCTGTTTTTGACTACTGTCCGCTCTCCATTTTCTTTCATTCTTCTAAGAAAAAAATTCAAAGGAAAAACTACTTCATGCCTTCATCGTGGTAGATATTTTCAATGGTTTTGAATTCTAAGCTTAAAGAACTATCATGTTGCTTGCTTTATTTAGTTCATGCTGATCTCACAACCCACACTGATTAAAAAACTATTTGAAAACGCAGTTCTGTCTGTGTTTTTAAAACATTTTAATTTTTTTTATTTTTTTAATAAAATTTATATGTTAAAAATAATTTTTAAAAAATAAAAAAATTATTCACATGTATTTTACCATAAAAAATTATTTGACAAACAGTTATTACCGTACTGCCAAACACACTCTAAGTACATCACTGAAAAAATTCCTTGGGCACTGCCATTGTAACGACAAGATTTTATCGAGACAGACAAGAAGTGAGATAGTCGACTTTCATTAAACATAACCTAAAATAATCACGAAGCAAGCAATGATATTACAAGTGCAGTTCTTCACCACTGTTTCTATGCTACAAAATGATAATGATCTGCTTGCCTTTCGACTCCATGATGGCTCGTTACAGGATCAAAAGACCAAAATGTCAGTTCTCCATTATAGATTAGCTCCTACGCTGAAACCAAAGGAACTTGCTGCTCCCCAGCTATAGCGAACGCTACTTTTTGCCTGTCAAAAAGCAATAATAAAAGACATGAACCTTGTAAATTGATTTTCATCCAAATTTGTGTGATCTATTGATTTTGTGGCGGGGCATTCAATTTTCTATTTCTGGTATGTGTTAGAAGAAATAAGCCCGGAGGAACATCTGATTTAGATGCCACAGTCAAGGGGTGTATTGGACTATTGGTGGTGGCATCCATCTCAAAACTGCTCCATGTTGAAATTGGGTTACCCCCTCCCCAAATGGGTATCTAAAGACTTGCTTTTACTAGAGGTTTTGAAGGGCTGAAAAGCAGTACTTACTTGCTCTGATTCGTTTGGGGTATCTCCTATTCAAATCTGTGGCATCTGAAACCTTGCCATTTTCTTCAATTTTTCCCTCGTCTTCCTTGTCCTCCATGTTATCCTTGACTTCATTATCTTTCGTGTTTTCCTGATCTTCATTGTCTTCTGAATCATATGCCCTTACAATGTACACCTGGTAAAAAAAAGTAGTAATTGGGGGGGGGTTGATATTCATAGAAAACAACAACGGCTCACCAACATAACTGCAGCAGAAAACATAGACAGTTCTGAATTTACAAAAAACACTCTGTTAAAACATCACTCAGATAGGGAGGCTGATCCTTCTTCACTCAAATGGGACAATACTTGCACACAATTTGGAGCTCAGCATGTAGCTTGCATCATTAAAATTGCATGCTCCAGCCAATTTTGCATTGAGCCAGAAAACAAAACATCCTTATTGACAGAAATGTTATGGAGGTCGAGCACACGGCGTTCAAGAATGTCTCTGCCTAATATTGTTAAATAAATCAAGTACAAGTTTTAAGGGTGTGAAGGCGCACCTTAAATTTAGTAGGGCTGACAAGCTGGAATACCAATGCATCTCCATCAACTAGATCATGGGCAATAGCAAAACCTCTCCATCCCCCACTAAGACCAGTTTTTCCAGCCAGGTATTTCGTTTCAGATTCATCTCCATTTTCATCTTCCAAAGTGATCATTTCATCATAATGGGGAAGGTGAGCCTTACAGAAGGGGACCGGCAGACCCTATTGGTAACATTGAAATCACAGTTAGTGACCTAATGACAGAAATTTCATGAACTTCCCATCTTTTGTAGAAAAAAATTAATCATACAAATATTAATGATCAGCTTGATTATACAAATTACTACTTGGAGGACAGTAAAATCTTGCGTGTACATGGTACATTAAAAGGGAGATAATTACTAAAAACCGGAAACTTTTTAGTTCTGGGATTACCTTCGTAAACTGACCATTTTTTAATAAAAACAAAGTCAACCTCTCTCCCTCTCTCTAGAGCTATAAATTAATTAGATAGACCATGGACTCTTACCAGCCAAAACCCTCCAGTGACATGTGATTGGAGCATAGGTTTTACAAAACTTGGGAAATCAGCTCCCAAACTTGACTGAATTTGATCTGCCCTATGAATTGCATATATCCTTACTTCATCAGAAGCATAAACTCTATTCAAGAGATCCCTCCTTTGATAGCTCCTATAATACAAGTGCCACTCACAAAACACATAAGACAAGTTACCAAACACCCAACAAAATGTTAAAGTACTCAAAATCTCTCTCTTTTTTTTTTTGAGAAAAAAAGGTCCAAGTATAAAACCTTCTGGGTCTCGCCAAAGGTTCAATTGGAACCTGCCAGAAATCAAAAGTTACTTGCTTTCAATAAACTAACCACTATATATCAGCCCAAAAATCAATCTCGGCATTTCAGCGGTCTAAACTTTAATATAAAAAATTAAGCTGTCATTGTTGCAAAAACCAAAGCTTACTTCTTTATAGCTAACAGGAAGCTTGTGTGCAACCCGGTTCGACCTTCTAACTGGAGTCAAGGCCAGTGGTGACCTAGAAATTCTGGGCTTCGCTTTCTTCACCTGTTTATTTAATTACCACAGAATCTCTCCATAAACATACTAGGAAAAAAAAACCCATTACACAAAATAATTACTCGAGTAAAAGCATTTACTGCGTGTACTCACTGGAGATGGCTTGGAAAGGAGACTTTGAGATAGCTTTGTGAGGTTGAGCTCTTCCATTCTCTTTTTGTTCTCCTCCATCCTCTTTTGCCTGGTTTCTTCGTACGTTTGTTTTGATTGCATCATTTTTTGTTAGAACGATGAACTCTTTCCCCCCTATTATTAGAGTGAAAAAAAAGGGACTTGAAATGAAAAGTTGAGGAGAAAGTAAACAATTGAATATCGATTATTTTTCCTAAATGTATTTTCTGTCGGCCTCTCTCTCTCTCTGTATGGAAGGACAGTGGTGGAGTGGTGAGTTGTCCTAATAAGCGCCTTGTTTAGTAGCGTTTGAATTCAAAACCTAGTGCGTGTCCTCAACTAGATTTTGGGTTTTCATTTTCTTATATTTTTGAGAAGTGCGCCTCTTTGGCTATTTTTATTTTCTGAATTGTATTTTTTAATATTTATATTTTATTTATTATTTATCAGTTAATAAATTTAAATATTTATAAACTATTTATTGAATTTTAGATATCCAATAAATAGCTATTATCTACTATTTATTTATTAATTAATAAAAAATAAAATAAAACTATATATATATATATTATGTCATTATTAAGTATATATCATGTTATATTAAAAAAATCTAAAAATTTTATAAATATATTTATATAATATAAATATATATTTTAAATTAGTTTTTAACATATTTCAGATCGGGTTTAATAATATCTATATCTTATCTATTATCCATCAAGTTTAAGTTATTATCCTTGCTTATTATTAGCTAGCTTTTATATAAAAAAAAAAGTATTATTTTTTAATTAGATTTTAAGTATATCATTCATATTACAAATTATATATCTATAAAAAAAATTATTTCTCATAGTTATTTAAATATAAAATAATAACTGAAAAAACAAATTCATTTACTATCTAAATAAATATCTTAATAATATGACTAATATACTAATAAAATTAAAATACAAAAATGTGTTCTAGTCCATTTTGTAACGGTTAATTATTTTTTTAATTTAATTGATTTGATCAAATAAAAATCATACGACACTCTCTTATCAGTAATTTTGATTTATAAATGAACCATTATTTTTTTAAAAAAAATATTATCCTCGTTAAAAAAAGTTCGAATTTTTTCAGTTATGCTTGAGATTACAATCGAATCATGCTTTTAAAAAATTTTATTTTTTATTTGTTAAATTCTTTTTATACACTAATATTAAAATAAATTTTAAAAAATAAAAATAAAACATTATTTTAATATATTTTTAAATAAAAATATTTTAAAAACAACATCTACCACACCTCTTAAATATCCTTTTACCTCCAACTTTCATCTTTCTGCGTCTAATTTCATTGCGAACCAAAAATTTACTACCTTGTAGCATAGGATCCATGCATATAAACTCTCTTTGCATAAAAAATGCTTTTCATTTTTTTATAACTATTTTTTATATATATAGTTATAGCATGCTAATATTAAAATAAATAAAAGTCACTTTCAAAAAAATTCGAATTTTTCAAAACAACTCCCCGTTAAGTCAAAGGAGGGGACTCCAACGAATAAATCTAATCAGTAGCCGTATCTGGTCCAAAACTTCATTTGTTCAAAACATCCACAATCTCATTTCAGTTGTTAAGCTCTGGTTCACGTTATTTTCACAAGCAATACTAACAAACTGGCAGCTCTCCTCTGGGACGATTCAATAACCTAACAACAATCGATGAAGTTGACAGAATGTTATGAATCTCAGTTCTCAGCCACTGTTTCTATGCTACTTGACAAAATCTAATCAGTAATTAGCGAGTGCCTTTCAACTCCACAATGGCATGTTGCAGAGACAAGCCAAGCCAAACAAAAGATTCATTTCTCCACAATAGGTTAGCTCTTATATTGCGGAGATGGAAACTTGCTGCTTCTCCGCATCATGAAACGCTACTTTCTGCCTGGCAAAAGCAATAATATATCCGAGTCAGAAACTTGTAAAATGGTTTCAAGGTGATATGAACGTGGGTGCGAATTGATCAAATACTTCATTTTTGTCTTCAAATATTTCTGCCCAGTACCAAAATTTACCTATGCCAGCATATGAATGGCAGTAAACAAGAAAAAGATTCTTGATAGCAGTTCAAGAATCCTTCAAGTGAAGTGTTTTTTTGCCTATCAAATTTCCACAAAGTATTCCTATCATTTTTTAAATGTTAGCGTTGATGGGGATTCCCAGTTAGAACATAAATTTTCACATCAAGCTCAAACTGTAACGCATCCCAACAGGTACTCGCATTTCAATTTAGGGATCAGAATCTATTATATAACTACTAATATGACTATTTATGTGGATTGATTTCCTATCATGGAAAACTTCTGAAGATTTTGAAGGGTTGAAAAGCAATTACTTGCTCTGGTTCGTTTGGCTATCACATCCAAGTGCTTGGAATCTGAATTCTTGTCATTGTCAATGTTTTCCTTCCCTTCATTGTCTTCTTCCATGTCTGCCTTGTTTTCGTTGTCTTCTGAATCATATGCCCTTGCAATGTACACCTAATAAAAAGAGTTGCAACTAAGAGAATTGAGACGCATAGAATACTCATGTGGCTGTAATTCCATCTACATAAGCGTAGCAGAAAAAATGGGTAATAATACTCGTTAAGACATCATTCTGTTTAGGCAGGCCTGCCAAGCATATAACAGGACATGAACCAGTAGCAATATACTGAGGCAATAATTCCATCTTGGTCCGATGGGGCAATGTTTGCATACAGTCCAAGGTTTAGCATTTTACCCTGCTGCACAATATCTAAATCATAGAACTTACTTTTAAACCACAATTCAAATGCACACCAGTCAAAGATTCTGTATCAACTGAGATATAACAAGAGATTAATCACATTGCACCAGGAACATTGCCCAAGCCTATTGTAAAACAAATCAAGCATAGGTTTTAATGAGTGAATTAAGGTGCTTGCCTTAAATCTTGTAGGGCTGACTAGCTGGAATACTAATGCATCTCCATCAACGAGTTCATGATCAATGGAAAACCCTCTCCATCCGCCACTAAGACCAGTTTTTTGAGCAAGGTACTTCGTTTGGAATTCATCTCCATTTTCATCTTCCAAAGTCATCATTTCATCCCTAAGGGGAAGATGCGACTTGCAGAAGTAAACTGGCAGGCCCTGATAGATACGTTCAGCGATTTCATAAAACCCCAATCCCCTAGTAAAATCTGAGTATGCAATTACCTACCATCTTTACTGTTTGGAGAACAAGGACATGATGATCATTGAACATGAAAAGGGCCAAAATTGACAAATTATTTCTCCAAATTTTTACCTCTTCAGTTTCTCAATTGGTATCTACTGAAAAGGGAAAAAATGTACTGATAATTGGTCTGTTTACAAGCCAGCAACTTTCTCAAAAGAAAGATTCTTTCCTTCTAGCTTTCTATAGTTACAATAACGAGGCAAAACCACTGATTTCTTACCAGCCAAAAGCATCCGCTGACATGTGATTGGACCATGGGTTTTAGAAAACTTGGGAAATCAGCTCCCAAACGTGACTGAATTTGTTCTGCTTTATCAATTGCAGACGCCCTCGCTTCACTAGAAGCATAAACCCCAAAACCTCTCCTTCGGTAACTGTAGCTTCTACAATACAAATGAACATAAAAAAACATAAGAATTACATAATCATAGTTGCATAAAAACATCCACCAAGATTACAAGCCCTCAATCTTTTAAACAAAAAAGTTCCGCTAACAAACCTTCTGGTTCTCTCCAAAGTTTCCACTGGTAACTGCTAGAAAACAAAAGATACTTTCAATTACACCACCACTGAATTTTAGCCCAAAAATAGAACATGGCATCTCAAAGGTCTGGAATTTGAAATAAAAAATGTAAGCTTTTGCTATTCAAAAGCCAAAATACTTACTTCTTTATAGCTAACAGTGGGCCTGTCTGCAACTCGAGTCGATCTTCTCACAGGAGTTAAGGCCGCTGCTGGCCTAAAAGTTCTGGGATTGCCTTTCTTCACCTGTTCAATTATTATCACATCACATTCAAACAAGAGAGAAGAAGAAGAAGAAGAAGAAGAAGAAGAGAAGATCCATTAAAACACATTAGCAAATGCACACACAGACGAAAATTAAAGCACCTTTTTTACAAAAAAAATGTACGTACCGGAGATGGCTTAGAAAGGAGACTTTGAGAAAGCTTTGTGAGGTTGAGCTCTTCCATCCTTTTCTTGTTCTCCTCCATCCTCTTTTGCCTGATTTCCTCGTATGTTTGCTTTGATTTCGCCATTTTTTTGTGTCACACTTTCTGATTCAAAAAACCCAACCCCCCTTTTCTCTTTGTTATTGATGAAAAAAAGACTTGAATAGGATGTGAAGAAGCGACGAAGAAAAAACAGGACAGTTGGTTTCCTTTCCTTTCCTTTTTTTTTATTTTTATTTTTTGGTTTTGTACAGATTTAATATTTTACTAGTTTTGTTTGAATTCAAAATCTGGCTCAGGCCAGCAACGGTACGATCGAGTCTCATCTTTACCTCGCCTGACTGGAGGAGGTCTAATAAGGGTATAATTGAAATTATGATAACAATTCTGGTTTAAAATGTTTTTTTTTTTAAATAATATATATTTTTTATTTTTTAAAAATTATTTTTAATACTAATATATTAAAATAATCTAAAAATATAAAAAAAATGTATTTTAACAAATTATTTTTTAAAATTAAAAAAAATATAATTTACATGATATTTTCAAACATATGCTAAATTTATAAGGTATAGTTGTTGATATAGTATTGTTTTTTTTTAATGATATATTAAAAAAATATTTTTTTAAAAAAATATTTTTAATATTGTATCAAAATAATTTAAAAATATTAAAAAAATTATTGAACTCTTATTTAAAATAAAATACCAAACAAAAGTTAAATATACCAATTGGAAGGGTAAGGGATTATAATTATAATTTATTATTCAAGTTTATAAAATAATGAAATAGTATATACAATGGAATAATAAATATAAATATTTATAAATTTAGAATCATTTAAAGATGATTTGTTATGACTTGAATAGTATTTTTTTTCTTCTCTTCCGCAACAAAACCTTTTTGTTTTTGTCATTGAAACCATACTTTTGACTGTTTGTAACTGTCATAACTACATTACGAAAATACAAGATAATCTTTACGTTTTACTAAGTGAGTCTTTGCAGAAAAAAACTATACCCAACGGACGACTTTTGTAAATGCAAGAGAGAATCACTCGCTATTTTTATAGTTTAGTTATTTTCACTTTGCTTCTATTTTCTTACAATGCACACAAGAAAGGCCCCACAAAATTTTCTTGTAACATATCACTCAATCTTGCTTTCTTCTAGTATTTAGGGAAGCATTCTGAGTGGTGAATGAATGCTTCACAAAAACATTGAAGGACACTGACATAAACGGGTTTGTTATCCGACAAAACTAGAAACAAGCCAGTCATTTCATCACCATGGAGCTTCAGCCACTTCTTGGAACTTAAGCTCTAGGTTCTCAGAATCCACCACTAATTTCTCAATCTCAACGCCTAGCCTATTTATAGTGTCTTTCACTTCCAAAAGCTTTGCCTCAAGAGTTGTCATCTCCTCCTTGGCGTTCACTCTTTGCAGAGTAGCTTCCTCATACCTCTTTGATTTAGCAGATAGGTGCATAAGCTGTCCCAACCTAGCAAGCAAAAAACCGACATTCATTCCTAAGCCTTCAAAGGCTTTCAGAGTCTTCTCCCAAATTGCAAAGCTTTCCAGAGAAGCAGTAAGCTTTGAAGCTGTAATGGCATCTGCAATATGGATAGTCTCGGAAAGCATTCCAACAACCAGTTTACAGTTAAGGCCATCAAGAAGATGGTCATGGAGAAAGGAATTTTGACTGCAGCAAAGCTCATAATACTTGGTTTGAAGGTGTTTGGAGAGCTCACTGTTAATTACCAAGCCATTTACAAGAATGTCAAAATCCTCGAAACATTTCACTTCTTTAAAATCAACAGCAGAATTTGACAATCTGATTCCATCTGTAGTTTCCGAGCCAAGATCTTCACTTTCATATTCATACGGATCTGATATAGGCCCAAAGGTGGTAGGACAGGCCAACTTGACGTTCTTTTCATTGTTCTTTTCCAGATTGTCGTGCGATAGATGTTTGAAATCCAGATCTTCCATCTCTCCGCTTACCTTGCTCAGTTTTTCTACAAGAACTGCTTCATTGACTAGATAACGAAGATATGTTAGATCACACAATGCTCTGTCATTCCTAATTGATAAGTGAGCCAAAGCGGGTGCTGAATTTTGAAACTTACTAGGAGTCATTTGTTTAATAGCAGCCTCCAATTTTAAAAGGCCAAGGGCACCATCCACTTCTTCTGAGGAAGATGAAAGATAAAATAATGCTCTCTGCCGTTAATAATTGATAAGTGAGCATATATGAATTCAGAACTTTGAAACTTACCAGGACCCATTTGTTTGACACCAGCTTCCAATTTCAAAAGGGCAAGAGCACCGTCCACTTCTTCTGAATCATTTACTCTCACAATGTAGACCTAAATGAAGCCAAACAGCAATAGAATTAATAATAGAATTTGTAGAAAGAGATATCCATGCAAAATAGCATTCACGAATGGTGTCTCACAATCCGCATGCATTAGGCTTAGGAAACTGTTTCTGGTCCTCGCTTATTCTGTGATGCGTTGATTCACATCAATGTGCCTGGCAAAGTTAAGGCTGCAGGTATTTGAAAAGGCAAGAGCTGACAAATTCCAACTCTCACAAGATGCAGAAGATAGCCAGGAATCCAACGAATCTAAACTAGGATCATGAGGCTATATGTATAATCACTACATAAAATTTCCCTACTACCTTCTTTTCTTATTCTTGAAAGATAAAGATTTAGCATCTAAATTGCCTACTAGAATCCAGCTTCTCCAAGGCTTCAAATAGTAAAAAACAATTTATATGTCTGTTGGCTTAAAGTTTTGTTTCTCGAAGCAATCCTGAAACTTTCGAAGCAAATAAATTCATTCAATTTATTTGAGGACCCTAGAGAGTAGCAATTGAAATAAAGTAATCCAGCAATTGTGCAGTCAAGATTAAGATTCATAAAATTACCTTGAATTTGGCAGGCTCGACTAAATGAAAAATCAGAACATCTCCCTCCATTATTTTGTGATCGATGGAGAACCCTCTCCATCCAGCACTAAGGCCCACCTTGCGTGCAAGATATTTTGTTTCATAACTTTTTCCCCTTTCATCTTCTAAAACAATCATTGTGTCCTCTTTCGGCAAATATGCTTCACAAAATCTCTTCGGAAAATGCTTCCATCCAAAAGTTGGCCATTCAGAACACTTGGAGAATCAAATATCATAAACTATAAAAACTGTCAACAAAAGAATAGAACCAGCTTGAAGCTTACCAGCCAAAATACTCTGGTAACATTCGAGGGTAGCATATGCTTTATGATGCTAGGGAGTTCAGGTGACAGATTAGATTGAATTTCTTTCGCTCGCATCATGACATCAGATTTAACTTCCTCATTATCATATAGGTCATCAATTTTGGCTCTCTTCGATGTGTGACTGTAGAGAGTAAAATTAAGTTAACATTGTGCAGATTACAATACAACGCTGCTTCTTACAGTTAAAGGAATATTAGATAGCCTCTGAATTTAAACCACTGACCTTTCAGACTTCACAGAAAGGTTACTCGGTACCTGTTCAAGAATTGGCAATTCTCTAATCAATCGAGCTTTACCATTTTTAACATTTAAACAAGATGAGAACTTTCAGTAGTGCATCAGAATACAAATGATTTTCTTGGTGAGGACAAGAATGTTTTAAGCAGCCGTCTGTTATTGCTTTCGCTCTGTTTGTTATTGTTTTCAAAAAGCACAAGAGCATAAAAACATGTAGATTATGAATTAGCTTTCCATCTGTAAAGGCTGCTTTCAATTTCATCAATAATGTTTTCCAAATTTGTTCTTTCAGTGCATCCCCTCAAAGTAACCCTTCTAGTTCATCTAAACTACAGAATTATCATTTCTGTGAAATGAGAAGTACACATTCACCCATACTTGAAAGAATTTTCAGTTACTTTCAGCTATTACTAAAGGCTAACATGGTTGTACCCTTCAAATTGTTTCCATTTCAAAACAAAAAAAGTGATCAGAGAGACAATCAAAATTAAATACTTAAAAAACCATTTTCCGAGACCAAAAATAGAAACCAGTTTTGTGAATACAAAATTAGGCTAAGAATACCTAGTGACAATAGCTAACATTGATCAGTTTCTTAAGGGTATTCATCTTCAAAACATAAACAAACTGAGCTAGCTCACTTAGCCCAGAACATCAACAGTGATTCACCAACAAGAGCCGCGCCCCCAACCCCCCCCCCCCCCCAAAAAAAAAAAAAAAAAGGGAAAATAACACAACTGGGCATATAAGTTCTAGTTTTTAAAGAAAAAGAGAGACAAAAAATAGCAAACCTTTGTTATTCCATTCACTTTCGGTGGCCTTTCTCGCTTTTCCTGCAATGTAAACTCAAAACCCACACAATTAACCAACAACCTAAGTTGCCGAAGCACGGGACTAAACAGAGAGAGGGAGGGAGAGATGACCTTCTGTTTGTTTACTTGAAGAACAGCCATGCTTGGTGAAGATCGTGGTAACCAACAAGAAGAAGAAGGTGCGTCAAAGAAAAGGGGTAAACTTTTAATATATGTGAACGTGAAACAAGGCCTGAGACGAAGGAGAAGATGAAAAGACCGATAATTTGAAATTTGTACTGTCTACCACTCTTTTAAGCCTGCATTGTCACTTCTCTGAAAATGGAGCCAAATTTTAAATATATTTATTATCGTTCTTTAAAGGATTGAGCTAGGCCTTTGCGACTATTGGTTTTATCAAGTGGGTTTCTTTCTATTCGGTAGCCCGACATCCATACCCCCCAAGGGAAAACAAAACAAAAAGGAAGGAAACCTGCCATTGTTTTGCGTCAATTCAGCAAAGAAACCCTTATAAATTTATCTTACATGAAGAGACCATATTGTTTATAGCTCAATTGAATTGGGCTGAGTTGACAAAAAGTGAGGAGCATAAGGGTAAATGTGATGAAACTCTTATATTGGGGGCTTATTTGCTGAGTTGATAAAAACATACGGGCTAAGCTGGGAGATTTTCCGAAAAGGATGCACGAAAGAAAAGAGAGGGAGTGTGTGCGGCTTTGCCAAAAAAAAAAAAAAATTAAATTAATATTTTTCTATTGTTTTAATATATATATATATATATATAACTTATTATATTGATATATTTTTAAATAAAAAATATTTTAAAAATTACTTTACACCACAATCTTGACTTCTAAAATTTTTATAACTGGAG